GGGGGGGGGGGGGGGGGGGGGGGGAAAGCGGGAGCCTGCCGAGGGTGGCGTGATACGGAAGCCGGCTGGGAACAAACTAGGTCATGGCTGTTCCTCCCCCCTCCTCCCCTCACCCGATTGTAAATCTCCCAGCTGTGGGTGGCTCTTGGGATGGTGCAGAGGGCAGGGGGGGGGGGGGGATGGGGGTGTTGGTGGAGGATTAGGGCGTGGCAGGAAATCCCTGAACGTGTGAATCGTGGTTGCTGCAGGCACAACTTGGAAACATCAGAAGTTTCAGAATAAGAGATATTTCAAATGGGGAGAAAAAGGAGGCGTTTAATAAAGTTCAAGAATATATATCATGCAGGTTCTGGAGATGTTCGCTTGGTGCAGGGCCATTGGTAAAAAAAATAATTTAAAAAAAACCGTCTTTTTAGATAATTCTGCATATGAGCAGGAAATCACTAGTTGTGGTTAAGGCGGGTGAGTTTGGCACGGATAGAGAGTGGAAGTGAGACTGTTTCTGAGAGATGTTGGGGGTTTAACTGGCAGAGGTAGGAAGGGCTGGGGTTACTTCTGAGCGACAGTTTCTGTGCTGGCGGACTGTAATCCCACAGCAGAGAATCCTAATTGCCAGTGACACTTTGCAGATGGGAGGGGTTGTGGGCACTACGACAAGAGTGTCTGTCCTTTTCCTTAACGCCAGCAAAGCTCTCGAGGTTGAAAATCCCGTATCCCTCACATTCACTTATGTCCTGCACATACCTCAAAAAACCAGGACTCCCTGTCTGCTAGAGAGTAAATAGTTGGGAAGACTGTGTGAAGATTTGATTGTGTGACCTTTTGGCTGCGAATCAGATTGCATCTGCATTGCTTGCATGTTGAACCCTACTGGGTATCACATCAGTGACGGCCAGCTATTGTTTATAGCTTGTAAGTAACGTCTCACTTTCGACCAGAAGTGAAGTTTTATGGTGTCTGTATAGAAGACTAAGGTGCTGTCCAGAGTTTGGGAATGTCATCAATGGGAATTGTATCACCCTGTGTAACAGCTGAAGAAATCTTGGTAATCCTACCTTCTTGGCTCTAGGGTGGTCATCAGATCATCAGTGCCAGGTGTCTCCTCTACGGATGATTTAATCAGATTAAACACTCTGGAGCCTAATTGGTCAGTCAGACCCATGTGAGTGTCACCAGTGACAGCCTATTCCTATTGGCTGGCGTCAGTCATACTACAGTAGGCAGCAGTTGTGGTTTCTGGGAATTGTGACTCAAGCAGAGTGCTCCATTCCTAAATACGGCCCTTGTCCGACAGCAGCCGAAATGGCATGCCCCGGTTCTGTGCCGCGTGGTCCAGGATCCTCCCAGACGGTGAGACCACAGCAAGTCGCGTTTCTCAAAATCCTCGCCTGACTTCCCCGTCCGAGCGTCCGCTTTTTCGCTGGTTTTTGTCACGGCTTGATACTGTCCGACGTCCGCTGGATCCCATTGTGAGTCAGGCTGCGTGCGCAGATTAATGGGAACTACTCCGACCTAATCGGTTTCTTTTTTGCGCGAGGCCAAAAATGCCCGTCAGCAGGACCGTGGCATGAACGCCTTCGGAGTGAGATACGCCTTTAGCCGTCTCACATCCACGCTGAGCACTGAAGCTGGGAGACTTTCAGGCAGCTTCAGATGCCTCTCTCAGCTCTGCCTCAGGTAAAATCAATACCTACAATGCGTACCGGTCAGCTGTTCTTGTAACGTTACAATAAATTATGCATTACCTGTGCCTTGTAAGATCAACTTACAAACATGGCGCACTTTGGCTTCACAAATTATTCTATTAGATCTACATTTAAGCTGGAAAGGAGCTAACAGATTAGATTTAGCATAACCGCAAACACATGCATACACACTCATTAAACAATGACAACATCTTATTGGCTACACAAATTATTTTGACTATGATACTGCAATCTGTAGTATTTTGATTACTATGTAGAAAGGTATAAATCAGACTGCGGTGTATGGCTCATTGTATATATGTATTATATCTATATTCATTATTTCTGAGTAGTAGTGTGAGATGTTTATCTGGTGTTCAAAAGAACGGAAACTATTGGCTCATCCTGTATCAGTAAAAATGCTTCCTTCAATTTTTTTGGCATTTGGTGTTAAAATATCTGGCCTCACAAACTACATTTTTCTCTTGTCAGTGAATTATACTGTGGGTTTATTGTCTGTAAAACAACATAGTTTGTAAGTAACGTTTTATAACGTTATATAGAAAATAACAATTACCTGCTGTATATTAATGTTATTTAAATAATTGATAGCTTGGAGTCAGCCTCTGATACATGCGCGGTGCACAGGCTTATCTGATGCATTTTCTGTGCAAGGCGACTCTCACCTGTTGCGCTCTGCTGTCCTTTCATGTAATTTGAGCCCAGCGCTGTCACAGGTGTGCTGGCAGACTGCTGAAAGCCGCACGGTGCCTGCCGGTCTGTTTTGACGGAACCGGCACGCAGGTTCCCTCATTAAGCCGTTCCACGGGCCGGACAGGGGCCGCGGCCGCATTTATGGGACGGCCGATGCGATCCTGCTGCCGAATGCGTCTGGAGAACCGCTACCCCTTGGAATTTTTATTTTTTTATCACTGCCGTGAAAATCACGCTTCGCAGCACTTTTTTTTGGATTAATTATTTATAGGACATCTACACTCGTGTGACTAAGTCGGGATTTTACTTAATCGCGACCACTGTCATATTAACGCACAGTGCTCATGCAAACCGTCACGCCTAAGTTTTTTAGTAGTTGTTTAGTAGAAGCTGTCAGATTTCACTTAAATATATAGGTCCTTTTTTTTCTCCCTTATACTCGTGAGAAGGTGGGTGCTTTATTACGTCATGCAGAAGGCAGTCAGTCTATTCTCACTAACCTCTTAGTCCAGAGCATATCCACAGTGGCTGGTGTTTCTCACAGGTTGGAAGATACATAGATGCATGTATTAACCAGGAGAGAGCTCCCTGAATGATTAAGTCATCTCAAAAGCACGTCTTAGGAATGTGGGAGGGGACTGAGCACCCAGAGGAAACCCAAACAATCACAGAGAACACCCGCATCAGTGCTGACTGTTCAGTGGGCATCTTAATAGAACTAACAACAGGACACCAACTTGATTCTGAGTCTGCCCTGGAGCCAGTTTCACAAAGCAGGATTTCTTGCTTAGCTGGATAATTTGTCAGATTTAAGGTAGCCTGGGCCAAATATAAGTGGATGAAAATAAAGTCTGTTTAACCCAGACTACCTTAAACCTGAGTCTACCTTAAACAAATTATCCGGCTAAGCAAGAAATCCTACTTTGTGAAACAAGCCCCTGGTGTTTCAATCTGCTTTTCAGTGTAGCATCACGATGTCTTTGTTGTTGGAAGAGGGATGGAGGATACAGTACAGACGTACTGTAGATGATTAATTTTGGGCCTTGACAGCATCCGTACATGGAACACCCAAAATCAAAATGGTGCGACTAGGGAAAGGACCCGGGTGGCCTGCGAGTGTGGTTTCTGTTCCGATGGTCTCACAGTGAGCATACCACTGTGCACTGTACAGCTAGTGCTTCTTTCATGGGGCTACAGTAGCTAAGCAGACACAGTGATTCATGGATTGTGACTCATAGATTGCATAGCCGTTAGCATTGTTAGCCTCTTTGTTGCTTTGTTGTTTAGCTTAAGCAGCTGTGGGTTTTTTTTATTCATTGATTGATTGAGTTTGTCTGGTTTGGTGTTTTGCTGAGAGTTTGAAGTCTCACTGACGGCCCTTGTTTACCCGCATCTCCAAGGCCACTAGAGTTTGGTCACTGAACTTCGGTGATGGCGTCTTCCGGGGTGAGAGTGCTACCTTTGACCTCTGACCTCTTTGTCTCCCGACCCCTGGCTACAGAGCTGAGTTCCACTCTGATAGAGAAGATGCAGGCCCAGGAGTTGCTGCGCAGCTTCCATCTCCCGGACCTGGATGAATTCGGCCAGTTCCTCCGCTCGCTCCCGACTTCCGCCCTGGTGGGCATCGGGACCCTGGCCGCTGTGCTGGGCTACTGGCTCGCCACGCGTCCCCGTGCCATCACGCCTCCGTGTGACCTCCAGCGGCAGTCGGAGGAAGTGCAGGTGGGCCCCCTGTTCCACTGCCACCCCCACCCCGCCTTCTCGGACTACAGTGACGCCAATCCGCTACTCACCACACCACAAGAAGCAGCGGTCCCCAATCAGTCAATCTCCATCGATCGGCCGACCTTTCACACATTCTTAATCGATCGTGACGATCGTACTGTCACCATCATGCTGCCGCATCGATTACCGTGCGTCACTCTGCGTCATCAGGTCACCCGCTAACTTAGCACAGAGGTAGCTTTAGTACAGTGCTACTATAGGCAGTCCCCAGGTTAAGAACGGCTGACTTACGGGCAACTCGTACTTACGGACAGACTCCCATAAAGCTTATTATATTTCAAATTCGGCCGAAATGCAATGGTTCGTAATAACGAACGTGAGCACTACTTTATGATGCTCGTGAAAGCATTGCACGACTTGTTCGTCAGCAGTCCGTCAGCTCGAGGTATGGTACAGTACTATATTTACTTTTATTTTTACTGTAGAATTATTATTATTATTATGTACTGCATTATTGTTTTTTCGACTTATCTACAAATTCAACGTAAAGACAGACTTAGGTAACAGATCTCGTTCATGACGCATGCCGGCCAATGAGTAACAACCAACGAGTAGCAGCCAATGAGTAGCAACCAATGAGTAACAACCAACGAGTAGCAGCCAATGAGTAGCCCACTTACTATTCTGAACATACACGTGTGTCTTTAATTTTTGTCTGGGACGGTGAGCGCACTGCAGAATGGATGTGAAATTGATTTTACGCCACCCCTCCCCCCCCTTGGCTGACAACTTTTGCTGTTGCCAATATATATGGGGGCGGCCACAATGCCCCGCATCTTTTCTGTGGTCCTCCTTAGACAAAAGAAATAATCCCTGTTTTATATTTATTATTTCGAGGTGGGGTGACAGCGGGGATGGCCGAGTCTGCCCCTATCCCTCTTTTAGATCCGTCCTGGCCGTCCCCCGTGTCAGGGGACACCCCCGGGAGCGTAGCACCTCGGACAGGCTCGCTTCCTCGCTTTACTGCAGCTGTCGTCCAACTTCAGTGGCGTTTTGCATTTGCATCGACCTGCCCTTCATTTAAAACAGCAGCTCTGAGCCCCTGCATGACCGCCACGCAGTTTGCATACAGGGAAATAAAAATATAGAGTGCATTGAATCATTTCAGCACTTAAAATGATTTGCCATGTAGGACGTAACTAACACACAGCCCAGGCAGCTTCCCTGTTTTCATTTACATTACAAAAGTTAATAGAAATTAGGAAAAAAATGCATTCGTTCTCTTACGGCATTCTTGCAAAATGAAGCTGGATTTATTGATCTTCTAAGCAGAATAGTGTTCTCTCTTCCTCGCTGCTGCCTGTTCCTTTCGACCACTGTCTAAGCTCTCTTTGTTCGTTTTTGTTTTAGAAACCCGCCCGCTTGACTTGTATCGATATTGTAGGAAGTCCACGGTGTAGTATGGTAATGTCTTACGCGCAGATGAATAGCTAACACCGCCCAGCAACTGTCGCCGCGGTAACAACAATTGTGTGGCCGCTGATGTCATCTGTGTGGTCGAGATCGTGTCGGTTTCGTTTCGACCCACCTGCACGGTGCCGAAAGGGGAGCACGTTCTTCTTATTCCGTCCTTTCCCTTAGCACGAGGACGGGGCGCGCCGGTCTATGCTGGGAGACAGCCCCAAGCTACTGACACACTACCACGATGATGCCAGGACCATGTACGAGGTTTTCCAGAGAGGCCTGCGTATCACTGGTGAGTCCCCGGTACAAGGAATGCTGGGTAGCACGCGCGGAGCACCTCCGAAGTGAAGTCATGAGTCCAGACCTGACACGTAGCTAGAAAGAAATTTCATGGGGCATCCGGCAACCCTACCGTTACGTCCCGCTCTGAAGATTTTGCAGACCGTGGGGCTGGTTGAGACACACACAGGTGATTACACAACATTCTAAAATATAATATAATGATGCTGACAAATGACTAATGAATAAGTTAATAAACTAAACGTACGGCAAAAAAATAATGAATTAATAAAGCAAAAAAATCAATAAAATGGCTAGTGGCTAATAGGTGCATAGGTGGGAAGTTCAAGTCCAGAAAGTAAAAATCCAGACCAAGATTTTGTTTCAACCAACCAATTGAGTTACTCTGTGACTCTGATTCTTTATACTCAGCCGGTTGGCTGAAGCAAAATCTTAGTCTGGATTTTTACTTTACGCACCTGAAATGTCTACCTCTGCTAATCTGTAACGTCACTCAGGGAAAAATGAATTTGAAACAGAGCACCTTCTCAGATGATCAGTGCCATCAGTTTGTTGACACTGCAGCACAATCGAAATTACTCACACCAATAAACATTTGAATAATACAATAAAAAGAACACAGGCTTTCTCTGAGCAGGGACTAATCTGTAGGCATTGAAATCTGCTTAAACTGCGGGTGTCCCTCTTTAAGTATGTGCAGTGTTGTTAAGTTTCTTGTGGGGGTGAATTATTAACCCCTTGATGTTCGCAGGTGACGGCCCTTGCTTAGGCTCCCGGAAACCGAATCAGCCCTACACATGGCTGTCCTACAAAGAGGTGAGTGTACGAGTTGCGGATTAAATCAGACGGACAGAATAGTCAGGCAGGAAGGAGGGGTGGAGGCGTGGAAATATCCGGTAAATGCGTCTGTTGCAAAAAAAAGAAAATGTCCAGTCTAGGATGTTTTTTATGATATTATTGTTTGTTATTGAGTGAAATAGTAATGGGGTTTGTAAAACTGTTGTAAAATTGCACATGCCGTGATTGCCTTACTGTGCAAAAATCTCAGGCAGGCTAAGGAAACGATGTTTAAATGATCTTCACGTTGGTGTAAAACTGACTTAACACCTGTCAAAGTGTGTCAGCTTAATGATTTCACAACCTCTCCTAGAAGTCACCTCGTCATTTACAGCAGCAGCCCCACGTCCCCCCTGTTTGGATAATGAATCCCTCATTGACTTATTTCAACTAATCAAGTTAATTAATTAATTGGGCTGGTGAGCAAATTTAACAAATACATGTAATGACTGGAGTGCCTCTAAGGGGAGGTTTGGGAGCTGAAGCGCTGTTCATCTGGCCGTCCAACAAGGTATCAGTTAACTTTTTGGATAACAGAAGAAATTTTTATCGAGTTACTATTGATTTGCAGGTGTTCTTATGTCACATTGCTTTTTTTTCTGTGGATAAACAGCCTTAAACATATTCTGTGACTGCCTAAGACTTTTGCACAGTACTGTAGATAAGGGGGGGGGGGGGCGGCCCAGTGCGTCACACACCTCCAGGGTAAAGAGTAAATCCTGTCACTGGTCTGTGTGCAGTGCAGTGTGCTGTCTGTGACTCAAATGCCGTGTCTGTGACTGGAAGATCGTTTGTTTAAATCCCAGGATCACCTGAGTGAATTGTGGGCCACCTTAGCCCCCAGCTGCTTTCTCAAAAAAATACATCGATTTGGAAAAAAAAAATTATCCGCTAAATAACTGAAATGAGGAGTTGGCATGATCTCCTCTTGTTTGTTCCAGTTTCCTAACGCTGCCGAAAACATGTGTTTAAGTGAACTAGTGCATGTGACTGCACTAGTGAACTAGTGCATGTGACTGGTCCGCGTTTGGTGATTGTGTTTGCGTGTGAGCCTTTCGATGGCCTGGCATCTCCTGCAGTGTCCCTGCCACAAGCCCTTTGCTCCCAGGATCTCGGTGACTCTGTTCTGTATATGGATGCAACCTGTGGGTCGTGAATATTAAGATGGATTCCTCTGATAAAAGGAGACAAGGATGGAGACAGATTACTTTGTAAACAGCCACGTTTTTACTTAGGCAACCACATGGCCTCCCTTTCCCTTACGGTCCACTCAACTTCCCGTTATGATAGGGTCACATGATGGATTTAACTAATCAGAATTAAAGGAACACTATCCATGTGGTGAAGAAAGTAATGTAAAACATACTCTTACATGGAGATGGAAGACGATGGATGTAGAATCAATCAATCAATCGATCAATCACATGGGACTCTAGCCCCTCCCTCACAGGGGACTCCTGCCCCTACCTCACAGGAGACTCTAGCCCCTCCCTCACAGGGGACTCCTGCCCCTACCTCACAGGAGATTCTAGCCCCTACCTCACAGGAGACCCTAGCCACTACCTCACAGGAGATTCTAGCCCCTACCTCACAGGAGACCCTAGCCACTACCTCACAGGAGATTCTAGCCCCTACCTCACAGGAGACCCTAGCCCCTACCTCATAGGGGACTACTGCCCCTACCTCACAGGAGACCCTAGCCTCTACCTCACAGGAGACCCTAGCCCCTACCTCACAGGGTACTCCTGCCCCTACCTCACAGGAGACTGCAGCCTCTACCTCTTAGGGGACTCTGGCCCCTACCTCACAAAGGATTCCTGCCCCTACCTCACAGGANCAGCCTCTACCTCTTAGGGGACTCTGGCCCCTACCTCACAAAGGATTCCTGCCCCTACCTCACAGGAGACCCTAGCCCCTACCTCACAGGGGGCTCCTGCCCCTACCTCACAGAAGACCCTAGCCCCTACCTCACAGTGGACTCCTGCCCCTACCTCACAGGAGATTGTAGCCTCTACCTCACAGGGGACTATAGCCTCTACCTCATAGGGGATTCTAGCCTCTACCTCACAGGGGACTCTAGCCTCTACCTCGCAGGGGAATCTAGCCTATAGCTTATGAGGGGCTCTAGCCTCTACCTCACAGGGGACTCTAGCCTCAACCTCACAGGGGATTCTAGCCTCTAGCTCATGAAAGACTCTAGCCTCGACCTCACAGGGGACTCAAGCCTCTACCTCGCAGGGGATTCTAGCCTCTAGCTCATGAGGGACTCTAGCCTCTACCTCACAGGAGACTCTAGCCCTTGGTGAAAAGATGAGAGCTCTTGGGATTATGTTTCCTGTAATAGGCTACAGGTTCATGTTCATCTCTGGGGCCTTTCACGATGATATGGTGGTTTTAACATCTAAGACCAAGCACACATCCCAGTGTTTTTCCAGAAAACTGTCTTTGCTTATATCTAACAAAGCTGATGGCGCCATGTGAAAAACAACCAGTCAATCCATGTGGAAGGTCACAGTGTGGAACACAAGTAAAAGAGAAAGCACAGTGTAAAACAGTGATGTAACAATATCTTGGTAAGAATACTGTACTGCGCATTACTGTCTCAGGTTGTCAAAGAAAATGTTGGCGTGAGACTCTGATTCTATGTTTTGTCAAAGCATGTTAGCTTAACCGTTTCAAAAATGCTCCTAAAATCACCCCAGTAGCTGCAACAACCACCCAGTACACCCATGCATTTTTTTTCTTGACCACTAGCACATGCTATTCGGATAATCAATACCTCATTGAGGTATTAGTTAATTAATTGAGCTGGTCAGTGAAATGTGCCAGATGCGTGGAATGGCTGAGGGCGCCCAGAGGAGAGCTTTGGGAAGCAAGGCGGTGTTTGTTTAGCCACAAGGCATCAGTGACTTTTTGAAGAACAGAATACATTTTTATTAGTTTTTATTGTATTGCTGTTCATTTGCATATATTACAATGTTAATTTGTATTTTGTTTTCCTGAACATATATACACTTACAACCTAGAAAAATAAATATTTTATTTGACTGCCTAAGACTTTTGCACAGTACTGTATATGATTAAAAGTACATAGTTTCCCCACAACAATCCTCTTTAGTTTCTGATAAAACACAGAAACGCATACATTGCACAGATAAAAATACATGGCACACGTATTATATATAATACTGTAATAAGGAGGCTGTTAACGTTGAGTTTGACTTCCTTCCGTCTCAGGTCATCCTCCGGGCTGAACAGCTTGGGTCGGGGCTTCTGCACCTGGGCTGCAGGCCGAAGCCGGACCAGTTCATCGGGGTGTTTGCGCAGAACAGGCCGGAGGTGAGCACAGCCCCCCCCCCCCCCACCACTGATGTGACCTGCACCGCCCTGTGGCCTGTACTACAAAGCTGGGTTACTGGCTTATCAGGGTAACTTGTCGGATTTAAGGTACCACAGTTTAAATTGACTTTATATTCGTCCACTTACATTTTGCCCAGACTACCTTAAATCTGACAAGCTACCCCGATAAGCCAGTAACCCCGCTTCGCAGTACAGGCCCCAGCCTTTGCTGCCGGCATGGGGCCTGACATTCACCTGCTTACGTTTGCAGTGGATAATTGCGGAGCTGGCCTGTTACACCTACTCCATGGTCGTTGTGCCTCTTTACGACACCTTGGGACCAGATGCTATTCGCTTTATCATCAACACTGGTGAGCTTTGCCATGGTGCTATATATTGTGTTACATTAACACTGGTGACTCTGTACTGGATAAGCAATATGAAAGATGGATGGATGGATAGGTGAGTGGATGGATGGATGGACAGATGGATGAATGGATGGATGGGTGAGTAGATGGATGACGGACAGACAGATGGATGGATGGATGGATAGGTGGGTAGGTGGATGGATGATGGACAGATGAATGGACGCACGGACAGAAGGATCAATGGATGGATGGATGGATGGATGGAAAGGTGGATAGATAGATAGATAGATAGATAGATAGATAGATAGATAGATAGATAGATAGTCAGGTTTTAGCCATGTTTCCTGTGGGCACTGAATTTTTCTAGGTAATTCCAAGTCATTGAGGCTTATGCCACAGTTTGTAGCCGAACGATTATTTCCGTGTTCGTTCATTGACGTTTCCCGGTCCGGCACCCGGTGCCCTGCAGCGGAAATTTCCATAGTCATCTGCGACAAGCCGGAGAAGGCGCAGGTTCTGCTGGGAAACGTGGAGCGGCAGGAAACTCCCGGGCTGAAGAGGATCCTCCTCATGGAGCCCTTTGACTCCCTCCTCGTGGAGCGCGGCGAGAAGTGCGGCGTGCAGATCCAGGCCCTGACGGAGGTGGAGGTATGCACGTGTGGCGCGTGACGTGGAATAAATCTCAGACTGCATGAAGATCCAATAGGGACGTTCTCAATCATGAAGTTACTTCTGACAGCAGTGGCTCCCACACAACATCTGTGAAGTCAGCTTCTCCATATAAACCACTCTTGGGTGAAATAATTTTGTATTTTGGCCCGACTTTAATGAGAGGGAGAAATCAGCATGCTTATTACCAGTATAACATTACCTCGCTTCCAAAGCAAGAATTCTTGCCTATTTATATACCTGGGTAGTTTTAGTTATGGGGACATACCCTTAATTAGTATGCCACCTAATGGCTGGCTTTGGCTGTCTTTCTTCTGTTCCCTTTATCAAAAGAGCACAGCAATGGTTTAAAGGACGTTCTGGTTCAACGAGACTTCCTGCCAGTAATAATTTACCTCCCAGGCAGTCTGGCAGTGAGCTGGGAGGGAGCAAAAATGTAGACCAGCTGTGGGTGACCAGGTTGGGAAGCACTGGTTTTGGGTAATGGAATATGACTTTAAAAGCTTGTAATGGCGATTTCAATTACCCATCATGACAATTACACATGTGAGCTTTATTTGCAAATTGCGCAAATTCATTGTTGAAGAAAATGGTCCAAGGTACCAGCTTAATTAAAGCTTTGCTGCCTTTCTGTCAGCCTCCATCGTTACTTCGTGCTATTTACCGCTCTTACAGGAAACCTAAAGTTCTTCTTTCGGTAGTCATTAGGCCTTGTTTGGCATAAGCACTGGTATGGAAATACTCAAAGTAGGATTCGGAATGAAGTTTTGCTGGTTCAAGGCCTGGGGTGCTGTTGTTCTTTTTACAGTAATAGCGGCCTGTGACTCATTGGGATGTTGTGATTCAGGTGCAAGCATTTCAATGCTAATTTTGGGCTTCTGCCATCCCCACTAACACTCATAAATGGAATGCTTTACAGGTACAACACATCCAAAGTCACGATTGGCAAGTGCTGGTTGTGCCAGAACATGATTAAGGGTCTTACCCGCAAGGCCGGGAGTATAATACTGTAGTTCAGGAACTTCTCGCGTGACCCGTCTGGCCTGTCGGCGCTCTGTGGATCATCCATCCACCTATCAAACGTATACGCAGTCAGGATTTGTGTAGAGCATAAAGTTTATGCCTGGTAGCATAAAGCTGGGCATGCTATAGTAGGCCGCAAACAGTGACACTGGGCAATTTAGGTATGCAGGTGCACCCCGTTTGAAAAAGCTCACAGAAAACAGGGTGAGCGTGCAAATCTGATGACATTGCTGCCAGTAGACGAGGAGAGGTGTGGGAATCGCTGCCGTGTCGTATTGCCTTACAGTTTTACACCAGCGTCGTCACCGAGAACTCCAGCAAGGCTGGATGAATCTGCTTGAGACTTTTGTTTTAAGCAATCTGAGTGTTGCTGACGACCTGCACTTGTTAGCAAGGCTGCGTTATTTGATCCCACTCTGGAAATGTGCCCTCTGCGTTTAGTAGCTATGAAGCATATCGCATCAGATCGAGCGAAGACAGAAAATATAAAGATTGTTTGTTTTGTAAGTGTAACACTTGGCCACTGGAAAATGTGTGTTTTTTCACAGTTCTCATCCACATTTCCGTCAACACAGCAAAAGAAATTCACTTAAACACTTGTAGTTAATGTGTTTTTTTTTTCCCCCTTCTTCTCGTATTTCATTTATTGCCTAACTGGCAGACTCGATTTATTACTGTGGTTGTGTGTGCAAGTAATATTATACCTGAGGCGTTTTTTGTATCTATGGGAATGTTTGTATGTGTGTCTGTGACTACCTTAAACTTTTTTATATCTAGTTAATATCTTAGTCCTTGTTTCTTTCTGAACTTCGTTTTTATAAAATACAGGCAGGTCCCCAGGTTACGAACGAGCTCCTTTCCCTAAGTCTGTCTTTAAGTGAAATTTGTAGGTAAGTCAGAAATGTGACGGTAAGATACACAATAATATCAATTATAATAATAAAAGTAACAACATACGGTACAGTACTGTACCTAGGGCTGACAAACCCCTGAAGCCGCGCAGTGTTTTCACAAGCGTCACAAAGTAGAGCATCCGCTTATTATTATGCACCATTGTATTTAACTGTAATTTTTAATAACAGGCTTTATGGCAGTGCGTTCATAAGTATGAGCTGTCTGTAAGTCGGGTGTTCTTAACATGTACATTATGTACATTGGCTTTTAATGCGTTAGCATGCTGAAGCTATGTGGTCAAGATAACATTAACATGTCTGGTTGGCATCTCTCCCCCCCCCCCAAACACCCACCCACCCCCGCCAGGCCCTAGGCATGGAGCACCACCGGAACCCTCTGGTAAGTCCCGTCTCTGCTCCTCCTGCTGACCACAGCCATGGCAGAGGGGGATTTCAAAGGGGTCGGCTTGGCCCAAAGGAGCCACTCATCAGCAGAGGTGGAAAGGTCAGGCCCAGAAAGTGCAAATCCAGTTGAGTATAACTGGTTGGTTGAAACAAAATCTTGGCCTGGATTTGTGGTTTCTGGACCTGAACTTTCCACCTCTGGTGATTACTTATCACGCCGATCAGTCAGACTGCACAGCTAAGTTGAAGGCCTTACATCATTTATATGGGCACAAACAGTATGTTTTTATCTAAAGCTCGCTGCTCCCTCTGTGGCTGTCCTGCCCTTTACTGTGTTATCAATTCCTCCCACAGCCGCCCCAGCCGGAAGACTTGTCCATTGTTTGCTTTACCAGCGGGACCACAGGTCAGTGAAGGCTCCTTCCTGCGTGTGCCAGTAGCGTGTGAAGAGGCAGAGGGGTGATAAATGACAGCCGACATCTTTATGATTTTAACTGAGTCGAATGCAAACAATCATCAGACGAACGTCATTCGAGACGCTCTGTCACTGTGTTTGTTTAAGGATCGTATTCTGGCTACGAGATCATAAATACAGGAGGCACGGCGGCGCGGTGGTTAGCACCGGTACCTCACACCCCTGGGATCAGGGTTCCGTCAGGGTTCCATGCGTGCGCAGCACGTCGTGTGGTTCTCTCCGGCTACCCGCCACAGTCTAAAAACATGCTATGGAGATTTGGAGTTAATAAATTGTTAATGGTGAGTGTTCTGCCATAGCTTGGTACCTCGTCCTTGGTTATTTCCGTGCATCTGTAGCTTCTGGGATAGGTTCTGTACCACTCCCCCCCCCCACCCCCCACCAGCCTTCAACAGAGCAAGCTGGTACAGAACAGCTCTTAAAGACTTAGCACTGGAGACGCAGTAACAGGCCAGTTGTGCCTGTGTTTTTTTAAGTGAGGTTATGAAATCATCTTGTTAGACTAGGTTAATTTGGTCTGGATTACTCATTAATTAGCGGACTATCAGCCTGTTGAAACTCATCTCCTTTTCAGAGACTCAACAAAACAAAGAAAATACTATTCTGACTTAGTTAGTTACATATTGGACGTAGCTAAGGAACTTCTGTCTGTTATTGACGACCAAAGTTGCATCTAATGCAACTGTGCTAAGCATTAAGAAGCACAGGGAAGTATCGGGGAGTGTAGTTTGATGTTGTGCGTACTAGAATTTGAAAGGAACTGAAGGGTATATTGCCATGGAATCTGAGAAAAAGTTTCAGCTATTAAAGATTATTCATTTTATACAGTGGAGTTTTGAATTCTAACATAGGCAACTGGATTCGAATGTTTGTGGGAAAGAGCGCCATCTGTCGGCAGTCTTGCATATCGCTCCTGATAAGTGAAGTGTGGGTATGTTTGTCTTACTAAGTGCAAGTATTGTTTGGTTACTTAACTTGATACTGCACACTTCTGTTGTATATAAAGCTTGCACCTGCTGCAGGGATTGTTCCCTGTGACTCAAAGAAAGACATTTTCCGTCTGACTCTTGCAACAGTTTTGTCAGATATTTTTGCCCAGGATGGCTTATGTAATTTGTGTCTCCCAGGAAACCCGAAGGGAGTGATGCTGACCCATGGGAATGTTGTGGCAGATTTCTCTGGCTTCCTGAAAGTCACTGACGTGAGCGCAACGCAAACACTCTCCCTGTTTTTATTATGTCCGCCTGTCCTTGGCTGTGCCAGGCTTTGACAATAAAAAAAAAAAAACTTGTTATATTGCATCTTTAAAATAGATTGCAATAATTCCCATATTACATGAGCATGAAATTACATGATTTAAAAATGACCCGATATATTTTGACGCAAGTCAAAATAACCTAAATCACGATAGTTAGACAGTTTTTATCTTGGTTTATCTAAAGCCCGTGAAATTTTTAAACATGCACATGTTTTCTGAATGTGGCTCTGGTGTAAATTTAGAAGCTTCTTCACGTTAGCGTTAACGAGTTTCTGCTGCATTGATTCTGCCTTTGCATGGGAGAGCTGAGTTTTTTCACTCAGTTGAAATTGGATACATTTTTTTCATGAGTATTGTTTCATTTTTGTTTCTTCCCCATCTGCAGAAAGTCATTTTTCCCAACCAGGATGATGTCCTGATATCCTTTCTACCCCTCGCTCATATGTTTGAGCGCCTTATCCAGGTGAGGATCCGCTGTGAACAGTGAAAGCATCATACTATCAGAGGGGGCGAATCCTGCAATGACCGCATATAGTGTGTGAGAGTCTGCAAGCTATATAAAATGGTTTTATTTATAAAAAAACACTATCTATCAATGACAAGCTCATCATCAAACTTTTCAGTACTCCAGGAGACATTTAGACCGTGTTTGATTCATGTTTCAGTTAGAGAATCAGTCACCCTACAGGAAACCAAAAACTGAACCAGTGCTGTTACATCTGATAAAACACTGAGATAATCTTTTATTGATATAGTGGCTGTTTTTCTGGGGACTTTTTGAAACAGTTGGGGGGGGGAAAGATTCCTACATGGTTTTAGAAGTGTGATCTGGCTTTAGCTCAACGGGAAACGTGACAATCGTGAACAGTTACAGCACTTCAGATAAGATGCTGCAATTGTGGCTGCGGAAAATGTGTGAGCTTGACCTGAGGGCATCCGGCGCGCAGCAGAGGGGAATTGTGGGCTTTCCAGTTTTAGCTGTTGAGTCAAGGCAGCAGAAAGTTGTGTCACTTGTCGCAAAAACTATCCGCAAAAGGGCCACAGAGCGGCAATAGGAAACGTCATGACATGATCTAATCAGATGCTGTTAGTAGATGCCAGTGCGTGGTGCCAGACCGTGGGGTACTTGAACTGACTCACGCCCGCAGAAAAACAAGTCACAGCCTTTAGATCACCTTGAACAGAGATCACTAGGGTCTAGTCCCAAATCCGGTGTTCTTTAGAGGCGTAACCTCCCTCACATTCAACGTGAGATGTCAGATGTTACATACTTTGCACCAAAGAGTCACCTAGTGCATTGAAGCTACTGCGATCTTGGCCTTCCGACATCCACTGTTCAACACAATGTCAGTTACTGCAATGTCTACTCACTGCCATAAAATACTACCTGCTTTACGCTCCAGCAAGCCTAAAAGACAGTGGTGGGAACCAAGTAGTTCCCACTAAGATGTGTCAGAACATGATCTCTGGGAATGAATGGACAAACAGACATTCTGAGATGATCGGCTTCTTGTGTCTTCATAAAGGATTTTTAAAAGCTGATTGCAACCTCTTCTGCAGTCGTTAGCAATTGCTCAGAGTATTTATAATAACCGGAGTGTTTCAGGTAACCCCTAAGCCGCTATGTCTGTTTCTGTCTTACAGATGCTTAAAAGGGCAGTTGTCAGGTCTTTGTATGTGCATTGTATTTGCACTGTATTTACAATCACAGGCGTGTTTATGCTCTTACAGTAGCGACTGCGATAGCAGCACTGCGAGAGGGTCCAGCTCGATGTGAAAGAGGAAATGAGCTTATTATCATTTCTGCGTGTCGTGACTCAGAGCCGCTCTTCCCGCCGTGACCCCGATGTGACCTGTGTACATGTGTACAAACACGCGTGACCACGCCGATGCCTCTGTGTCCCATGCAGTCTGTCGTTTACTGTCACGGGGGTCGGATCGGATTCTTCCAAGGAGACATCCGGCTTCTCGCAGAAGACATGAAGGCCCTGAGGCCGACCATCTTTCCCGTGGTGCCCCGGCTGCTTAACCGCATGTATGACAAGGTGAGCTCGCGCCAGGGTCACCTGACCCCCCCCCACCCCCACCCCGACCTCATAGCATAGATGGTGCTTGTCATTTATAAATAGCTGTGCATGGATTGTATGACAATAGAGCCCATTTGAGATGACATCCAATCTGGTATGGTGGCTGCTTGTTGAAAGCATAGATCAGGGCTGTTCAAGTCCCGGTCCTCAAGGTCCGAGGCCTGCTGATTTGCCAGCCTTCCTTTACCCGTGAACCAGGCGCGAAGCCTCAGCCAATCAGAATGAGCAATGATTCAACTAACTACTTGAGAGAGTTGCAAACAAGGCCTGGATTTGTGATTGAGGGCCAGATTTGAAGAGCCTGCAATTATCGCGCACTGTTAATACTCAATAGTTTCGTCTGCCTAACATTGGACGCCTTGTGGTTTTTATATCAAATTAGTAATCGGACAAGTCATGTCGCTCCGACATACCGTGACTTTTGGGCTCTGGGTCGTGTGTCTCCCAGATCTTCAGTCAGGCTAAGCATCCAGTCAAGCACTGGCTGCTCAACTTTGCAGCCCAGAGGAAAAGCGCGGAAGTTCGGAGCGGGATCATCCGCAGCGACAGCGTGTGGGACAAGATCTTCTTCAGCAAGATCCAGGTGGGCCGGCCTCGCCGGGCTGTGACCAATGGCGTGCACCAAGGGGCGTGGCCAAGGGCGTTAACTATAAGGCGACCGCTTACCCTGTGTCTCCGGAGCAGGCCAGCCTGGGCGGACGGCTGAGGATGATCGTGACGGGAGCTGCCCCCACCTCCCCGATCGTGTTGGGTTTCCTCAGAGCTGCACTGGGCTGTCAGGTGAGCCGGGGGGGGGGCCTATGTCACACCTACGGCATCTCACGTCGGGAAACCCCTCAACTTCAATCCATGATCATGTCCCTCCCCAGGTGTACGAAGCCTACGGTCAGACTGAGTGTACGGCAGGCTGCACCTTCACCACACCCGGGGACTGGACCTCAGGTGACCTCTCCCCCCCCCCCGTTGCATCAGCATGGGGCTGTTCTCTAGCATGCCGGAAACGCCCCGCGACAAAAAAAAGCGCTAACCCATCAACGTCGAAGTTGCTTGAAAACGACTGGTTTTCAGTTTCACAAATGCAAACGTTTGCATTTGATGATAATCTCCGATTTGCAGCTGGGTTTTAGTGATAACGCAGGTCACTATGCTAATAAATCAATATATTCATTTGTAAAAGGAAATGCATATGCATTTTGAATTTTGAATTTTCACACTTTAACACTTGCCGCTATAAAAGGTTAGGGACGCTGTGGTCTCGTTACACCACATCCTGTTTTTCACTGTGGGAAAACAGAATGAGAACAATCAAGTCAAGTGTGGCGGACGCTCGCTGAAGTATAACATTTTGGCTGTTTACAGATGAGAACCTTTGTGCATGATTCACGCATTTAGAGAATGTGAACCGTCAATATCTCAATTGTCAATTGTGTCTCAATTGTGTGCACAGTTTGTGTGCAAGAATTGCCACCAAAATTTATGACATGGTGTAAATTCCACTAATCATTTGTTATTTGGATCGGGAACAATTATTATAGCTGTAGAACAATGAAATGCAAATTTGTCCAGACTTTATGCTAGACTATTCATTTTCAGCAGGTTTATTTTCCTTTGGCATTGTCGACAAGTAGACAATGGAAATTTTGTCATTTGTAGTTGTATGCATACAATAATCAACAATTCATTGTGTTTTACGGCTAGCTTATTTAATGTCTGTGTATTTCTGTAGTTTATTTTATCGTACATTGATTTATCGACAGCTAAGATGATCATTTTTAATCGCACTACTCCCCCTTGTGGAGAGATATAGATTATTAATAGGAAGTAGGACCATCTTATTAATCAACATTATCTTCATAAACTGACATTTGTACAGCTTGCTGCAGCAGTTCAGTTGCTTACAGGCACTGCCTTAATAGGAGCGGAGTCTGTACCCTGTGGATATAAGTGTCTTCTTGGCCACCATGCTGCTCTTTAAAAGGCCGTGGATCGCTTGCGCTCAGGACCACATATATTTCAATCAAACACTTTCGGCTGCTTGATGTCGTACCTGCAGGTCACGTTGGGGCTCCCCTGCCCTGCAGCTTGATCAAGCTGGTGGACGTACCGGAAAAGAACTACTTTGCAGCGAAGGGAGAGGGAGAGGTAGGAGGGTGTCGGAAAAACCCCAGAACTCTTTTTTTTTTTTTTCCAGCCGGTTAATTTTAAAAGCAGCATCTTCACTGCAGGTGGGTTTCTCTCCCCTGACAGGTGTGTGTGAAAGGACCGAACGTGTTCAAAGGCTACCTCAAAGACCCCGCGAAGACGGCCGAGGCTTTGGACTCGGGGCAGTGGCTCCACACGGGAGACATCGGCAAATGGCTGCCTGTACGTCATACTGCCTCAAGCCACATGCTAACACGTTAGCGCTATTCTAACACGTTAGCGCTATTCTAACACGTTAGCGCTATGCTAACACGCAGCGCTATGCTAACACGCAGCGCCATGCTAACACGCAGCACTATGCTACCACGCAGCACCAAACACATTGGCTGTTAGCCTGAAAGCCACCTTGTATTGTACCTGGACTAATACTGAAACCCAGAGCAGCTAAGTGTACTGTAAGTCCTAGGACTAATACTCAGGCTAACCTGGTCTCTAGCCCAGGGCCCTGAATTGTAGGGAGCTCCAGAGTTTTTTTTTAAACTCTGTTTTATTCAGCGTTTTATTCGGTAACGCTTTACATTAATTGCACATTGATAATGCATTCATAAGGAGCATGTAAGTGTACCTTAACATCCTAACATACATTAACAGCTTTATAATACATTAGTAACAAACATTATATGATTATATGATTATAATGTTTGTTATTAATGTATACTACAGCTGTCAAAGTATGATAGGGCTTATGAATGTACTATGAATGCATTATGAAGGTGCACTGAATGTTCTATGAATGCATTAAGGAGGTGCATTGAATGTTCTATGAGTGCATTATGAATGTGCACTGAATGTTCTATGAACGCATTATAAAAGTGCACTGAATGTTCTATGAATGCATTATGAAGGTGCACTGAATGTTCTATGAATGCATTATGAAAGTGCACTGACTGTTATATGAATCCATTACGAAGTGGCACTGAATGTTCTATGCATGCGTTATAAAGGCATTATGAAGGTGCAGTTAACGTAAAGCGCTACCTTTACTTCTGTAGGTAGGGCCCCAACAATGAATTTAGCCCAGGTGCACCCATCCCCCTAAATTCATCTCTATATGCCATAGAGATATTTTCTACTAAAGGGCTTAAATGTAACATGTGCCCCAGCAGGCTAAGCCTCTGTGCCTGTTATCGGAAGGTTGTCGGTTCCAGCCCAGCCTTAGCAGAATATTTACATGTCTGTGGGCCCCTGAGCAGGGCTGGTAACCCCCAGCTCCGTGGACACGGCTGCCCTTCACTGCCAAGCTTGGTAGGAGTAGGTGAAAAGAGAACTTCCCCACAGGCAGGTCATCACCCTGATCATTACTGTTTGTGTGCGACTCCCCCCTTCCCCATAGAATGGCACGTTGAAGATCATTGACAGGAAGAAGCACATCTTCAAGCTGGCCCAGGGGGAGTACATCTCCCCAGAGAAGATTGAGAACATTTACATTCGCAGCGAGCCAATCGCACAGCTGTACGTGCATGGAGACAGTCTGCAGGTAAGGTCTTTGCGGCTACGAAATTAAATAAGCTGGTATACCTTTACGTCTCTTGACTCTTACTATACTTCACACTTGGATGGATGTGTGATCAGAAGGTCGTTGGTTCAAATCCCAGGGTCAGCCGAGTGTTTTCACCATTGGGCCCCTGAGCAAAACCTTTAACCCCGGATCGCTCCGGGAACTGGCTGACCCTGTTGTCTTAAATGTGCATCGTTTTGGCTAAAAGCGGCTGTTAAATGTGATATATAACCATGTATACAGGGGTCGGGTTAGGCTGTCTTGGGCCTAAGTGCCTGTCTTTATGTGCAGCACAATAGCTCACACTGGTTTGTAAGGCTGTGCATTCGGTTGCCTTTGCACACTGGTTGCGGTGCAGTAAAATGGCGGCCCAGCATGCGATCGCCCGTCGCGCATGCCTTTCCAGTTTGGCTATATATGCAATGCATTTCGCAAACACTAGCCTGCATGTCTCTCTGCAAAGGTTTCACTCGCTGGCCGGACAGGCAGGGGGCGCTGTGGGGGCACGGACACCCCAGCAGATTCGTGTGGCCCTGGAATATGTACTATTCTAAAATTCTAACATTTTATAATGGAGGGATCAAAGGTCACATTTTATTGGGGAGGGGGGCAGAATTTCTGCAGACAGGTATTTATAATTGAGTGCTTGTGGTCTTGTCTGAGGTATAAATCACCTTCAGACCTGGACCTCAGTGCTGGTCCTGACTATATTCTTAGAATGCCAACTGCACCATTGTGCTGTATATGCTCCCGTTTTCTGACGGCTTCTCTGTCACTCTGCAGTCCTGTCTCGTGGGCATCGTGGTTCCCGACCCGGACATGTTTCCTGCCTGGGCTAAGCAAAAGGGTTTTGATGGTTGCTATGGAGACTTGTGCAAAAATGCGGTAGGTCTGCCTTATCAGAAGCATCCTTCATCGTTTTCCTTGAACATAAATGACATAGGGTCCATCTGCTTATCTAGCGTAAACTGTTTATATTTGATTTTTTAAAAAGAGTCTGTTGTCATAACACTGTGCTTTTGGTTTATTTTTTCAAGGAGCTGAAGAAGGCCATTATGGAGGACATGGTGCAGCTTGGGAAGGCCAGTGGGCTCCACTCATTTGAGCAGGTAAAAATGTACAAACGTTTGTTTGAACTGTACAGTTAATGGCTAATCATGGTGCACGTGCGGGGAATCCTCCAGTGCTGAGAGAAAGTGTCCACTGTGGTTTTGGATGTCCCTTTGGTTAGCGGCCGGTTTTGGCGTAAAGCAGCAGATTCTATCCTAAAAATAGCCGCACTAAAAGGAGAGCAGAATCCAGTGCACCAGGTAGCCCTCGATAGACCAGCGTACCCTGTAGCCCTCGACCCTGTCCGTCAATCCATCCATCTTCCAGCTGGACAGGGACATGTTAGGGAGCTTTTGGCACATGCACTGGAGGTTCCGTGAAGAGGGAGACGATTAGGTCAATTCCAAGGCCCCTGAGTGACAGGAGCCCTGAAAAACTTGGACCAACTGGATTGGTCAGGGTTGGGGGACAAATTCGGTATGCTTTCACGGGGCCCGAAATGTCTAGCGGCAAGCCCGTGCACACAAACGCATCCTCTGACTGTACGATGGTCTAATATTAGTTTTGCAAAACTTGCATACTTTGACGTACTCCCTTCAGTGTGAACAGGGTGCCCACATCTGTTTTTCATTTGAATCGCGGCTATTACCGTCTGCAAAGGTGAATCGTTCTTCGAAACGTTTATCCCACCCTAATGAATGGTCTGTCTTCCGTTAGGTCAAAGACATATACCTTCACGGCGAGATGTTTTCCATCGACAACGGCCTGCTGACGCCCACATTGAAGGCTAAGAGACCAGAGTTGAAAGAGTTTTTCAAGGACAAGATCGAGGAGCTGTACAGCAACATATCCATGTAAATCCCATGAAATCAACGCCCTGGTTTGTCGGACCTTTAGCGGTGTTGCTGACCACGAACCGTTTGCCCTTAATTCCTCGTCAGAACTCAGATAAACAAAATTAAATCGGTAAAGGACCACGATGGAGGAAGCGATACGATTCCGTGTTTTTTTTTTTTTTCCACATTCATCAATTAGCATGGCTTTCGGTGTGCATGTCAGGAACAGCAAAGCTAAGGCCAGGTTAGACCTGTGTGCAGAGAGTGATAACTGGACCCTGAGCAATCCGACTACCCCCCCCCCCCCCCCCGCCGTTTTTTTGGGCACTGACCAAAACGTCACCATTGCAAATCCATAAATAGCTATTCTAAATACATCTTTGCAGATTCCTCCCTGTGAGCTTACAATAAGAGAAAGTCGAAAAGCAGGAGAGATTAGACTCGGAGCGGCACGTGCTTCGACCTTAGCTGATAGAGCTGAGTTTGTCTATGCCTGAGTTCTCAGGCGTGTCTCTGACGTTTTCTTGTGGCCCAGTTCTGCTGGTTCCCCTGGGCTGCAACAAAACTGTGAAAAGCGAATCCAGCATCAAATCGCAAACTTGGGTTAATGTCGATTTTTGTACTGTTGCATTCATTCCGACCCAAAGTATTACTATTTATTGTTCATGCACACTCATGCATATATATGCATAATAATAATATCAGAATTTAATATATTGGCATTGGATTGAATGGATTTTTGTGTGTAGTGAGAGGAATTGTAATCATTGTCTGGTGACAGAGAGTGTCGGCACCACAAAACTGTATGTCGCATCTACGGAAATGAAGGCACATTAAATCAAAGCCTGAAATAATGTCAGGTGATTTTGAATCTATTCTTTGTGCTGTTTTCATTCTTTTTTGTCAAGCACAGACAAAATCATGCACAATTCACCGTTATAAGGAATTTACAACCCCATTAGTATTTATTGCCTATCTCTGGGTGCTGGGAACAGTTCTGTCACCAAACCACAGGTTACTACGGAACAGATTCTGTATTTTAGTGAGATACAGGCTGTTTTTCTGCTCCAAAACTAGGAAGTAATGCGAAGTCTTATGCACAGAACCATTGGGCCCATTTGTAATGTTTTGATTTTCCTGAATGACAAATCATTCGACTACTATACCAGGATATATACCATAACCACAACGAACAGGTGGAAATAGTTTATTAGGAACCTGAAACGTAGTAAATAGTACCAGTTCTACACAGGGGCGTTTCTATTCTGGTACCACTCATTTCAGAATCAACACTCATTCAGTGTATTTCAGCTGGCTGACAGTGAAGTGCACAGTTTATATATATATTTGTTTGCAGACCAGACGTGTATGTGTAACGTGTAAATGTGTTTGAGTACTGATGAGATTGTTTTAGTGTTACATTTCACATACATAGAGATCAGCACTTCGGTCAGTAGGGTGATTGTAAGTAATATGGATATTCTCTAATTTGGAAGCAATTTGCAATGTTTTGCTTCTCAAAGTGAGACATGGTAGGCATTCCAGTTAAAAGTTTTTCTTTTTTTCTAGCAACCAAGACTAGTTTCATGAAAATGTCATGGAAATTGTGCAGGTGTAACTTATAAGGAACCCCATATCGATTAAAGTCACAGACTCTTCTGACTGTATGATTCCCGTTTGATGTCATGTAAATTATTGAAATTAAAATACAGCTGAACCAAATGGAGCAATCCTGTTGATTCAAAAGCTGCGTCCATCCGATAACGTTCGTTATTTGTTTTTCAACATCCAGAACAAATGAAGTATCTGTTTACTGTAAATGAGGGTGCAAGCATGTTTGTTCCACGCTCTGGTGACTAAATGTTAAATAAGAGAGGTATAGGAACAATTATTTGTCTATTTATTTATTTATTTTGATTTTTGCATGTTAAAACTAGCCTTAAACAGCTGCTAAGAATGGAAAAGTACAGTTTAGAAATAAATTCACATTTAAAAAAATACCAAATTGATGAATGTAACCTGGAAAGTGCAAGCATGAAGACATTAGAAAATATATTTTATATGATATCTGAAAACATGGATGGGTGCAACATGCTGTCATACGAAGTACATAAACTGTTTTTTTATATAATTTATCAATTTGCATGGGGGGAATAAAATTGTACTTGTTACACTTGCATATTTCTTGGAGTTCTTTATTCTCAGCTGTCAGCTTTTCTGTGTTATTCTGTGTTCATTTCCAGAGTTGGGTAATTCAGGTTCTGAGAGTAAAAGTCCAGACCAAGATTTTGTTTCAACCAACCAGTTGAGCATAAAGAGTCACAGTCACACGGTACTCAACTGGTTGGTTGAAACAAAACCCTGGTCTGGACTTTTACTCTCTGGACCTGTTCATTTCTGCGAAACTGTAAGTCAAGTGATGGCTTTTACACCGTGATGGAAGGAGGATGATGATGAAAACGAGGAGACGTTGGCAAAGAGTTGCCGTATTTTTCTAAGTGTTGAACTGTGCAGCCAGGCGAGGGGATGAAAAAAAAACAGGTGAGAATGACGGTAAGCCTACTAAGTAGTTGCACGTTACACTAGATTAGTGTTTCCCAATCCGGTCCTCAGGGATCCCTCCCAGCTCCCTACCAGACTGTCCACGTTTTTGCTCCCTGCCAGACTTCATCAACGTCATCAGACCCCCCTGCGCCAGCCTAAACAAAACTTAAGTGAACAATTTTACTTCGGCAATGCTGCAGCAGTTTAAAAACTAGCAACTCGATCGCTGTGGAGGCAGCAAGCAAACATCATTTCATATCACAACCTCATACAAAACAAGTGAGACTGGAAACGAAAGAGCCGGTCAAGATGGGTTTTCTCGCACTGCCCCCTGGTGGATATGACCTTTAATCCTCCAGATAGACGTAAAGTACGCGTGCAAGTACAGCCAGTACATTGCTTGCGTTGCGTATGCGTCGCCTCGCGGCACTTAACTGGGTCATTTTATACGTGGGCTTTAGGTTGTCGACAAGGTTCTGTCGGTTTTTAATATAAAGGGGGTGTTTCGTGGAGCCGTTTGTTTGCCCCGGCAGAGATGGGGTGGTGTATGCGTGCGGCGAAGCAGCGACACCTGCTGGTCAGACGAAGAGCCGCTCGCTCGCAAACGGGGCGCTTAGCGACACCGGCCTCCAAAACCCTGTCGATGCGTAACAGTAAGGAAGCCAAACTTTGAAATATCATTTAAAAACTCTACGTTTATTATTGACGCCCATTAAGCATTTCTCAGGTCTTTGTTTCTGTCGTAACACCTTTATCGCATCGCTGGTTTGCCGAACAGGACGTTTAGTTTGGCAACGGCTTTTCACTTCGTTTAAAATGTTATGGCGTTTGAGGAGTTTTTATACGTTAATAATATAAACTGAGTTGGTTTTAGTCGGAGGGTCGAGCGATGGCGTGTTGGGGATGTGTGTAACCCGCAGGTCGGAAGGCTTTCGGAGCAGCTCTTCCCCAAAGAGTCATGAACCTTTCGCCCATTGACGAGTCCCTGGACCCCGGGCAACGCGAGTGAGTCCCCAGGTCACTTTCCTTTTGTGTCACCTGAAGCTGCATGAGGAGGAAACTAATTCAAAATTCAATAAACGGTGTTGCCAACTTTGGTCAGCTGGTTGGCGTGAGATTTTCAGTTTGAGACAAGTCTGCGCACACATTTACATTCATGTAACAGTTTTACTGTATTACCTTGTAAATATTCTGTAGGGTTTGAAAACTACCCCAGCTAATTTTAGCTTTATAATGGAATAACATAGATTTGCTGTAAGATTTCTTGCGTGTGCGTGAGAGTCTGGAAGCGTGAGAGCTGGCAACCCTGCATGCAATACGTATAACTGTTTGTTTTAGTCCCGAGGTTGTTATTGCTCTTTGAAATAAAAAGCATGATTCAGATTAATTACAAAGAAATCGCTTGGTAGATATGGGAGAGTAGACGGTGTAACTTTTTTTTAGTTGCTTAACTTGTGCTAGGCCAAGGTAAGTGCTTGGCTATGGGGTATACTGCCGTTAGGACCGATCACAGGGGCTTATAGTCGCGATGTCAGTCTTCTAAAAAAACAAATAAGTTAAGCCTCTGGTAAACTTGCCTTAGCCCATGATCTGTTCAATAGCCAGAAACGCCCCTGCCGCAGGCTACCTAATAGGAACTAAATCAGCAGCTACCGAGATACAGTAACAGTGTAGTTGTCTTTGACGTAGATTTCTGCTGTCAAATTATACAGAGAATCTTAGACATTTTTCCCCTCAAGATTATTTCATTTACATAAAGTGTCTATAAAAAAAGTCGTTACTTAAGACACAATCTCAACATACAACAGATGTATGTATTTCTTTGGAGTATCGTTTCTCTGGATCTATCTCATATGCATAAAGCCTGCTCTGATTAGCATAGTGCAGCAGATCTACTTGCCAGTCTAGACATGTCTGCCATCTGGCAAGTGAGATACACCCCGCCCCCTGCCCCCATCAGCCTATCAGAAGCCAGGAGAGGTTTATCAGTCACCTCACGTGACATTTCAGTCGGGCTCGTTAAGCCTATCACTGATCTGAAATTATCCAAGATCCCTCATCCCCATCCTAACTGATGTGCACCTTGCCACGTGACCTGTGCTCTAACGCCAGGATCCAAATGAACTGAATTAACATTTAGTCAATGATTGTTATAATGATGTAATGACAATTCTTCTAAGGGTTTGACTTAAATTGTGGGATTGATTAAAATTCAGTGTACATTCATAGTGTTTTCTTGCTTCACAGGTAGTTAAAAAAGATAAAAGCTCATATCTGTGACACTTCTCAGACATTAGTCATTTTACCCAGAGACCAAATGTGATCATTTGTACCCTAAACCCCATGTCGTTTGCTTGGATTCCAGTGATTTAAAAGCTAAAATCTGGAATGAAAATCAACTTGAGTAATTTGAGACTTGTCAGGTCCAGGACTCGGAACTAAACATTTTCCACCAGAAATCATTATCTTGATGGCAACATTTTTACATTTTAAGTTTTACATGATTGAACTATATGAAATGTACTAATATAAATCTAAATTATGTTTATAAATATTTTCCCAAATGTATTTAATAGATGTTACATAATAAAAGTCTAGACTTTAATGCTGGAAAAAAATAGTTTGGTGTTTTTTTGCTGAAAATATCCAAGCTTCTGTACAATATCCCAGGTGAAAGTTAGAATAACATTTTTTACCTTGAAGAAATGTCATTCCTGATGAGGGATTGCGAGATCCACCACCTCAGTCATGCCAAACAGCATTTGTCTTACAGGTGAGACTGGTTTCATAAACCTGTAACTACCTCAGATTTTAACAAGCACTTTGTGTGTATAAACATTTTTTCTTTTTAGGACTCTGTTGGTGAACATACTGTCAGCTGTTCAACAAATTGTGACAGTTCGTCAGGTTTGTATGACATCAAAGATTTGCATTTAGTACAGTATAACGTAATTTTTATTTAATTTCTAATAGATCCTGTTTCTCAAAACCACAGACATGGATTTACCATCTGGAGTTTCTACTTTTTTCCTTGATTGTATGGATTCTGGTTCGTGTGTCTCCTCTTCCTCTTCCTCATCTCATGAGTTGGACAGTAGTTACTCCTCTCCTGAAGTGTTCCGGACTCCGGACATGCATGGTATGTGCAGTATAATTAAAACTCCGACTACTTTGGAAACTTGCTGAGTGCACATTTAATATTCTGTCACCCGAGGGAAGCTTTTCCTTCTGAAGCAAGACAACGCATGGATGTTTCTTACATAATAATGCTAGTATATCAGCCTCCAGCATTATGTATATATCCTATATACATAACAGAGCTTGTTAAACT